AAGGGAGTTGATTGTTAGGGAGGACAGAGGTGATTGTTACCGAAAATGGAGGCAGGGTGATGAGTGGTGGTGGTGGCGATAGGGAGTGGAAGAAGGCGGGAAAAAAATCCCTATACAGATGACCAACTTTTTTTGGGTAAATTATACTTTGCCCATTTTATGTTTAACTACTTTTTCACTTTAACTCTTAAAGTTTATTTTTTCTCACTTTGACTCTTCATGTTTCAAGTTTTTTTCATTTTATTCTTAGAGCCAATTTCGTTCAAAATTAGATTGAAAATGACACATTGATAATCATATGACATAAAATATTTTATTGTATATAACTCACAACTCTGACATAAACTTAAACTCTAATATAATATTATATTTTTATGTTATATTATTGTGGTTTTTTTTTTTTTTTTTTTGTCTAATTTTGAAAATAAGTTAACTTTAGTACCTTGAAAAAACTTGAAACATGAAGTGTCACAGTAGGATAGTGACTAAACATAAAAAGGACAAAGTATAATTTACTCACTTTTTTATGGTTATAAAATTCAGTGCAGTTTTAAAAATAAAAATAACTACAAAATGATAGCTTTTGTATAATTTTCAAATTTTTTGTAAATATAAACTTTTTTTTTTTAAAACATAAATGTTGCCAAACATGCCCTTCAGAAAGTTGAGGTACGTTGACGTTTTTTGTTTTTTTTTAAGGTCATTAGAAACTAGAAAGACCTTAACAGTAAAAAAAATTAAAATTAGACCGTATGTTTGACGTTAAATGTTTTCCTAAGAAATATATTATGATTTTTTCTTTGTTTGTTTAAACAAAAAAATAAGTAAAATATGTTTGAAGAAAAATATTTTTTTTGTCATTAACACCAAAACAACTTGTCATTAAAAATTCTATAAATTAATTTTTAAGTTTACTTCTATCTCGACCCTTTCAAGCCATTGCCATTTTCAAAGGTAAATGATGGTTCTTTAATGGTTTCTATTTTTTTTTTTTATCGGCAAAGAAAATCCTTTATTGATGAAAAAAACATACAATACATATGAGATAACATCAACAAGGAAGAAAAAAAAGGACAAGAAAAAGGACCGGTCATAGTGTTTTTGAGAAACCAACACTAGCTCACAAAATCACAAACACTTGAAGCCAAAACCCAAAAACTGGCTAACAAATACAATAGAAAAATTTTGTTTCAAAATGTCAACCAAACATTAAAAAATAATATATATATATATATATATATTGTGTAAAATCAATTTATATGAAAAATATTTTTACACGTAAGATGATTTACGTCATAACAAATAGAACCATATTGCAAATTTTAAAGAATAAAATGAAAGGAGTCACCACAGCTGATTTGAGCACATACAAATATTTGGGATGACGTTTTAATAAATGCCAAACATATATGAATCTTGTTAAATTTTTATTTTTTTATTTTTTTCTCCACAATTGTCAGCTAAAAAAGCAATAGCCAAAAGGTCTTTTTTTTTTTTTTTTTTTTTTTTTTTTTTTTTTTTTTTAATTTTTTGTTTTTTAACTTAAAGTCAAAAGGTGGCTAAAAAACCCATAGCCAAACAGGGCCTTTTCACCAAGCTTTGTTATCAATGACTCCTATATAAACTACTCACCTGGAATAGAATGCTTACAATTCACAACACTTTCTTGACATACCTTGAGAGAAAAATGGTTAGCTGGAGGTTCTGGTTGTGCCTAACATTGGTCTTAAACTTTCAGGTGAGGTCTGAGCCGCGTTCTCTCAATCCATCAGTCCAGAGAAAGCATCTCACTGAAGCATATCGTGCTGTCCTTGATGATGCTGAAGACACTTACAACTGTAGAGTGAGGAACGGGGAATTTAATCGAAGTGGGGATGAGTCCCAACAATCTAGTCCCGGGGGTCCTGATCCTCAGCATCACTAAAAATCACCTCAAGGGATCATTTCCTTATGCTGTGTTTGGTTGGAGGATTTGAAAAGGGATTCGGAAAGAGAAATGGAAAAGTGATTCGGAAAGAGAAATGGAAAAGGAAGGTGAAATGTAAATAAAATATACCTATATTTCACCTAATTTCACACACATTTTTCCTTTCTCTTTCCAAATCCCTCCCCAAATCCTTTAACCAAACACAGTGTTAAGAAATTTTGTAATGCTGATTTTCATATTTGATGATGCATGTAGCCAATCTCATTTGACGAGAGTTAAGGCTTGGTTTGGTTTATGGTGCATGTATGTTAGCCATTTAGTTTTGGTATGCACTACAGATGTTTGTCCTAAGAAGTGAACAAGTTAAATGTTTGCAAATTGCCGAACTCTTATTTCTACATGAAAGCTCCTTCTTTTACTGGAATAATTTGCTAAATCATTTTATTAGCTAATGTGCTACAATTCTTTTAACAAATGCAACAAGTTCTCTTCATTGAATTTAGAACTGTAATTACAAATTAATTATGGAAGTAATAGTGTAAGCAAACAAAAACTAATTTTTGTTTTTCTAAATTTGTCTTTTTTTTTTTTTTTTGCTACCCCCCACGTCTAAGTACATGCTCTGTTCAAACTAAGGCCATGTTTGTTTGGACGGACTGAATTAGCATTCCCATGACTAATAGTCCTAGGACTACGAATCCGTTGGATTATGTATCCTATGTTAATTAATAGTCAAGTTTAAAATAATTAGTCCGTACTTCAATTGTTTAACCAAGCATTGGATTAATAATTTTATTGGACTATTAGTCTAATCCAAAGCTCATGTCCACCCAAACAAACATGGCCTAAGATTAATGCATTCTTAAGGTATTTGTGTTTCAATAGTCTCCTAAATTCATTGACCTCAACAGCAATTCCCTCTGCCTGATGAATTAGGACTTGTTGCTTAAGCTCAACCACGCAGAAAAGCTATCTCAATGTCAAGCTGCTCAACCTCTAAGTCAAAAAAAGCAATTATAGCAAATAACATGCGGATAGATCTCTGTTTCACAATTAGAGAAAGCACTTATATTAAAGGCTTCATGCTCCTTTGACTACAGATAGCCTTTTTAACAGTAAGCTACTTTGCACCTATTAGCGTTTGTTAATTGTTGACCACCATTTCATCTGAAAACTAAGTTGTTAGATTGAAGCACTTCATTAAAGGCATCACGTTCCTTTGACTATATCACTTTTAGCACTAAGCTACTTTGCACCTATTAACTTCTATTAATTATTCACCACCAATTTATCCAAAAACTCAAGTTGTTGGCCAAAATCTCTTTCATAAAAAGGGCCAAACACGTGCACGTATTTTAATTATTAGGTAGGCAGTGAGGTTCGAACGCAAGATTTATTATCTACTCTAAGCACACTTAGGCAATTTTATGATTGGTGGAAATATTTTCTAACATGGACAATGCATAAGAAAACGAGTTTTAATAACCGTATCTTTTAAGTGGCTCAAACTTCCTCTTTTTTTTTCTTTTTTCAAGCAACAGCGTTCTGCTGCCTCTGAGATGCCTTACTTTCAACAACATTGTGGATGTCTTGCTGAATGAGTCGAACTGAAGCTCATTCTGGCACTTCCTTGGAGCGTAAAGTTGTAGCTCTACCTGTTCACACACTCCCTAGACTTTACTAGCCTCAAAAGGCTCCGTTCTTGGTTGACTTGTAATTAGGGCACCACAACCTGTATCCCATCATCCCAATCATGCACTTTTTAGGTCTAGGCCATGACTTCCCGTCATTCACATGAGCATATGAAAGATAACTAAAAGTTCTCATACTAATGAGTAGGAGTGCTAGACCGTTCCTTTTTTTTTTTGGTGTTTTTAGCTCAATGACTGTAGAGAAGAGATTTACTCACACAGTAATTTGAAGCAAACTGCATCGGCCCAAAACTTCTTAGACAACCTCGTATTGAAAAACATACAAGAAGCCCTGTCTAAGAGTGTGATATTCATGTGTTCGACAACTCCATTCTGTTGTGGTGTAGCCTTGATAGAGTGATGCTTCACAATACCCTTATTTTGGCATAACTTTTTAAATTTACCTTCAGAGAACTCCATTCATTATTAGTTCTGAGACACTTGACCTTGTTACCTATCTACCTTCCAATCATAGCCTTCCTTTCTTGAACTTCGGCAACATTATTCTTGTGTCACCTAGACATTCTTTGAAAAATCATCAATCGATGCCAAGATAAAGCTCCTCCCTAAGAATGGCCAGGAAAGGTACCCAAAAGGTATGAATGGATAATCCAATGTACCCTTAGTCCCATGCATGGTTTTTACTTTTATTGACTTGGCTTTGCGCTGCTGGTCGAAGACCCAATGGTCACAAAATTTCAGTTTCCCAATTTTTTGAACAAAAAGAATTCCACATTTCATCAACCCTATTATACCCCTCTCATGAGCCCCAAACTCACATATTGCCACAATTTTCTTAGAATTTGTATCACCTAATAGTGACATTGTTGCAGTAACCAGTCATTGTTCTACCTTGAAGGAAATAAAGGCTACCAATGGTTCAGAGTACCCTTAGAGCCCCTTAAAACTACCTTCAACTGAGAACTTGCAACGAATTGAGTCAAGCATGTCCCAAGAGATGAGATTCTTCTTCAATTCTACAACATGTCGAACACCTATCAATGTCCTAAAAATGCCATCACGCATCTTAATTCAAACTGTACCTGCTCCATTTGTCTTAATCAAGACACTATCACCATCAATGGCCTTATATGAAACAAATCAGTCCCTATTGGGAAACAAACCATATGAACAACCTGAATATAGAATTGAAACTAACAACCCAAATCATCTAAGAGCAATTTACTACCCTTTACAGACATAACACTCTCCGGTTCACATCAAAATATAATTATGATGATGTGGCTAATAAAATTAACAAATTGTTCTTATGAGTTCGAAGCACTAAGAACAAGGGATGACCATTTAAAATACATGAACTTGGCTAGAAAAAGCCTACCGAAGTAGTAAAATCCATCTGGCATGAAGACCATTTTGAGTATATGGCAGTAGATGCGGAAGGCAAAGCAGGTGGGTTGCTCTTTGTATGGAATCCAACGGTGTTTCAAGTACATGAGTGCTGTGGCAACCGGAATTTCATCCCAATGTCAGGTACTTTGTTTTCCTCGTTTAATTGTGTGATTGTTAATGTCTATGGTCCAACAGATGTGGCCAAAAGGCAAGAAGTTTGGGCAAATTTTGCTCGTTTGAAGGCTTCTTTCTTGGGGCCATGGTGTATAGGGGGTGATTTCAATGAAATAAGGAATGCTGATGAACGAATTGGGTGCTCTAGAAGAGACCAAGGAATGAGGGACTTTAACTCTATGGTAGAACAACTAGAATTGATTGTCCTACCAATGCTTGGGAGGAAATTTACTTGGTGCAATCCACAAACACATGAGAAATGGAGTAGAATTGACAGATTTCTTTTGAATTATGAGTGGCTCCAAAATTTTAATTTTAAGTTATGGGGCCTTCCTAGGTTAGTATCTGATCATTTTCCTATAATATTGATGGAGGATGATAGGGATTGGGGTCCTAGACCGTTTAGATTTCTGAATGCTTGGTCCAGCCATCCAAATTTTGTAGCTTTAGTGAAGCAAACATGGTCAGAATCTCAAGTGGAAGGGTGGGCTGGTTTATAGATGTCTCATGAAGTTCAAAGCCTTGAAACAAAAATTGAAAGTATGGAACACTGCTATGTTTGGTAAGGTTGAATCTCAGCTTAAGGTAGCTGAGGAGGAAGCCCATGCCATTGAATTAATTGCAGAAAAAAGAGCTCTTCTAGGCAATGAACAAGCTAGAGGCAGGAATTAATGGGTGAAATCTGGAGGTTAAACAAACTGTTGGAACGGATCTGGTTGCAAAAGTCTAGAATCAATTGGGCCACACAAGCGGACAAGAATGCAAGGTATTTTCATATAATGGCATGTAGCAGAAACAACAGAAACTCTTTGTGCTCTATTCAGGTGAATGACTCAATGGTGGAGGAGCCTCTAGCAGTCAAGCATGAGGTGAAGAAGCACTTCAGGAACCATTTTTATGAACATTGGGCTGTTAGGCCTAAACTGACTGGACAGTTTAAAAACACAGGAGGCAGTCAAGCAATGGATTTGTTGGAAGCAGAGTTTACAGAGGAGGAAGTTAGTGATGTGATTAAGAGCTGTGAAGGTAACAAAGCACCTGGGCCTGATGGGTTTAACTAGGCCTTTTTTAAGAAATGCTCGGGAATAGTTAAGTCTGAGATAATGCAATTCTTTAGTGAGTTCCATCAGAATGCCACTCTGGTTAGTGGTTTAAATAGTTCATTCATTGCTCTAATTCCCAAAGTGGATAGCCCATCAAGCTTGAATGAATATCAGCCCATTAGTCTTATTGGTTCTTTGTACAAAATTCTTGCTAAGGTCTTGGCAAATAGAATGAAGCATGTGATACCAAGAATCATTAGTGAGTCTCAATCAACATTTTTAGGGGGTAGGAATATTCGGGACGGGATCCTTATTGCAAATGAGGTAGTTGATGGGTGGAGAAAATCGAATAAGAAAGGTCTAGTGTTGAAACTAGACTTTGAAAAGGCTTATGATTCGTCAATTGGAAATTCTTGTTTAATGTGTGTGCCAATTTCGGATTTGGTGAAAGTTGGGTGAGATAGATGAAAGCTTGTGTAACCTCCACAAAAGTGTCAGTTCTAGTGAACGGTTCACCTACCAAGGAGTTTTTCCCACAGAAAGGCCTACGATAAGGGGACCCATTATCTCCCTTTCTCTTCAATATAGTGGCTAAGGGGCTTAATATCTTGTTTGACAGAGCAAAGGAAATGGGTTTAATTGAAAGAGTTACCATAGGTAATCATGGGGTAAAAGTAACGCATCTACAATTTGCTGATGATACAATATTGTTTTGTGAAGCTCAGTGGGTGGAAGTGGTAACCGTTAAAAGAATACTTAGGTGTTTTGAACTTATATCAGGGCTGAAAATTAATTATCACAAGAGTGTGATTGCTGGGGTTGGTGTGGATGAAGAGCTGTTACAAGGTTTTGCTTCTCGATTAGATTGCACATATCAAAACTTGCCTCTAAAGTACCTTGGGTTACCTCTAGGAGCCAAACCTGGGAGGAAAAGTACTTGGAAACCAGTCTTGGACAGATTTAAACAGAAATTACCCTCATGGAAGAGAAGGTTGCTCTCGTTTGCTGGGAGGCTAACTTTGATTAAATCTGTTTTGAGTAACTTGCCTATTTACTACATGTCCTTGTTCAAACTACCAGTGGGGGTGGCTAAAGAAATTGATAAAAATTCAAGCAAATTTCTTATGGGGGGTTCAGATTTGAGAAGAAAAGTTCACATGGTTAAATGGGAAGCCCTTACCAAGAGCAAAAATTTAGGAGGCTTGGGAGTTAGAAGATCTGCAGATATGAATAAGTGTTTATTGATGAAATGGTGGTGGAGGTTTGGGGCAGAAAATCACACTTTGTGGAAGGATGTTATATGTTCAAAGTATAATATGGGGGGTGGAAGGTGGCTGCCACATATGGAAGGAAATATCAGAGCTTCAAAAATCGGGTCTGATATAATTAATACAGTTAGATCTCTGCCTGAATGTTTAAATTTCTATCTTGATAATGCAGCCATTCAGCTGGGAAATGGTAGGAGAGCTCAATTTTGGTTAGATAAATGATCCGGGGAATTGTGTCTTATGACTGAGTTTCCCAGACTATTCTCTTTGTCCACCGATAAGTATGGAACAGTTTCTGAATTTTATTCCAGAAGAGGAGGGCTGCAGGATTGGAATTTGGATTTTAGGAGGCCTTTGTTGGCCTGGGAGGAGGAGGAGGTTCATAGGTTATATATCTTAATCAGTACTGTACCAGCTCTTCGGGTCTCAAGTCCAGATATTTGGAAATGGAAGGCTGATCCAGCTGGGTTGTTCTCTGTTGCATCAGTGTACAAAAGATGTGAATTGTCCTTGGGGCCTGTTAGGAATATGGCAGTGGCAGTTTGGCATAACTGTGCTCCACCTAAAGTTAAATTCTTTGGGTGGTTGGCATGGCAAGGTAAGGTGAAAACATCAAGTTTCCTGGAAAGAATAGGGATCTTAGATGTAAATGCTAATGTGGGTTGTGTCTTCTGTCATGATGAGGTGGAAACAGTCTATCATATCTTGCTATTTTGCCCTTTTACGTGGCTGTTGTGGTCCCATATTATGAAATGGTGGGGTGTACAGTGGGTTATACCAAACTCAGTGGAAAGATTGTTGGAATGGTGGTCATTTTCTAAGATGAAAAAGATTGAGAAGCAGCTATGGAAGGTGGTACCTTTGGCTGTCCTTTGGTCCATATGGAAGCATAGAGACGACTGTGTGTTTAATGGGTTACAGCCAAATGTTGAAGATCTCTGTAAGCTGGTCAAAGTAGGAATAGCTGTGTGGGTTAAATCTTCCCCAGTCAAACTGGAGTTCTCTGTCAATGATATAGTCCTTAACTTGCAGCAGGTCCAATATTGTATTCGTCATAGGAGTTGAGTATTGATCCTGGAGTGTGTTTCTACTGGAGTATATATCAGGTTCAGTTCCTGCAGGAGTGTGTATCTGAGGTTCTGGTTCAGAGTCTGTCCTGCTGGACTGTGAGGCTCAGTGGTGGATTGTTTTGTGGGACTGCCTTGATGGTGCTTTGGTGTAGTGGTGTGCAATATAAGGTTGAACGCATTTCTTGTCCCTTGGTAGGTTGCTTGTTACTGATCTGCTGCTGTATGCTGGTTTGTGCAGCTTTTGGTCTGAGCAGCTACTGCTGGTGGAAGTCTACTGATGGAAGTTCTATTGGTGCCCCAAAGTAAATTTTGGAAGTCTGCTTGTGGCTTTAGTCAGTTTTAAGGTTAAAACTGTATGCTGCTATGGCTGCTGTCAATTTTGTTCTGTTGTTTTGCCAATCTGTCACCAAGGCTGAGCAGATTGGCATGTGACCCTGTTACTCTGGCTCTAACCTGTCACCAAAGCTGTTACTCTGGCACTAACCTGATTGGTATGTAGCAGATTGTTGGAGTACATTGATATGGTGGAGAAAAATAAAAGGATGGAATGTGCCTTGTTGCTTGGTGAGGTTAGCCAATTATATGGAATGTGCCTTGTTGTTGCAGAGCTAAGTAACAAATCAATAGCTACGAGGGGTAGAAGCTGAATCTGAATTTGGCTAGATGGTTCTGCATCAGGACCTGTCCTGCTATGCTATGGCTGGATGAATGGGACCTGAACTGATGTCTGTTGCCTGCTAATGTCTTGTTAATTTTTCAGTGTCAACTGCTAGGTTTTGACAAGTTTATACAACCATTTGCGACTGCAAGAGGCTGGGACATCCTCATGGCGTAAATTATGGATCTGGGGGATTTGGAATTCTTGATGAAACTGGACAACAACTGCTTCATGAGTTTGTTTCTGTGCTTTGCCGAAATAGTAGCTTTATGATCTGTTTTGTTTTAGTTGTGGAATAATGCTCCAGCAGAGGGGTTTTGTGGATGAATGGTCTTCAAAGGGTGTGTTATGTTAGGCTGGGCTGCTGTGAATTTTTGTTTTTGGATGTATGATCTGCTTGTTTTGTTTTCGTTTTTGCTCTACATGTTGGTTACTCACCAACTTGGAGCTTGGAGTTTGTGCAAGCAGATGATTTGGTGTGCATTTAGGTGTCAACCTAGTTAGGATCTAAATGGTTCACTATGATGCTTTTTGCACTCTTCTCTTTATTGATGTATGTTATCATTCTCTGTATGCTTTTCCATCAATAAAGCTTCCTCCTTTTTGCTGATAAAAAAAAAAAAAACTTGCTATGGCTATGCTTGTTGTACTACAAAAATTTTCACTTTTGGCGACTGAACTTTTAGTCGCCAAAAATTTTTAGCAACTAAATATTTTGGTCGCAAGAGTATTCGCTGAAGGATTGTCGGGGAAGGTAATTCGCTACTAAAATTATTTTAGTCGCCAAATGTAATGCAATGCCGACTAATTTTTTAGTCGCCAAAAGTATTGAAAAAAAATTAAATATCACCTTTTAAGTGACTAAAAATATTTGTCGTGAAAAACATTACTAATATTCAGCTACTAAAGTTTTAGTCACTAAATTTTTTTTTGGTTCCTCCTATTATTTTTTTAGTAACTAAATATATTAGTCACCTAAAGTGTGATTGTGTTTCTGCTACTACAAGTTTAGTCGCCTTAAGTGTCAAATTTTTTGCTACTAAAATTGTAGTCGGCAAAAGTGTTTTTCTTGTTCATCAAAATTTTTTTGTCTACAAAATATTTTAGTTGCCAAATGTTAGATTGTTTTTGGCTACTAAGATTTTAGTTGCCTAAAGTCTGGTTTTCTTTTTTCCTACCAATTTTTTAGCCACTAAAAGTCTGACTTTTTTGGCTACTAAGCTTTTAGGAGCCAAATAGTTTGTGTTTTGCCTACTAAATATTTAGTCGGCTAAAGTCTCACGTTTTTCGCTATTAAACTTATAGTCAGGAAATGTTTTTTGTTTTTTGGCTGCAACATATTTTAGTCACCAAATGTTTTATTATTTTTTAATTTTTAGTTTCCTAATGTCTGCTTTTTGTTGGCACTAAGCTTTGTAGTTGTCATAATTGTTTTCTGAAATTTGTTATTAAGTTTTAGCT